CTTTAATTACAGATATTTGCCTTCTCATGTGGGTGTACAAGATATCGGAGGGTTGTGCTCGCGAAAATATCGCATAATAATGGGTATTGACCCGTAATGATTCGCCCGTAGGTACTATCGGCCGCCTTTGTCTCGATCGTTGAAGCGAGAGAATATTCTTTTCAGAATGATTGCCAATTACATCGAATGGCCCCTGAATTCCACGGAGAGATGCAGGATTTAAATGCGCTTTGTAATTTTGATTTGAATCCGTGTTAAATGATTTATGCTATATTAAACTAAACGGCTGCATAATAGTGACGCTTTTGAGCGTGTTTTTCGCACGTTTATTTATTTATTACTCAATGATAATGTTTAATAACAAGTTTCTTTTACATTTTCCTACAAAGTTGACTTGATAAAGTTGTCAGTGTGCGGGATATATCTAATAAGAAATGTAATGGCGCGCGCAGTTCGCCACTTTGTTGCACCGGATAGGGCGGCCGCCATTTTAATGTCTCTCAGACGGAATTACGCTGGATTGTTCTCGAGTTTACTGCTCCCCTCGTGATTGATCGTCGTATCCTCGGCCTTATGTCATTCTCGCGCCGTATCTCTCGGAATTTGTACTACAAGCAATAAATACATATTGAGTTATGATAACTTTGCGCGCGAAATTATTGCGTCCGAGCTTTTGCGTTCGTATTGTGCAACTTGTATGGAGCATTAAGAAACATTTTTATCATCGTATTGTTTTATTTTTGCTTTCTTTTTTATAGTTTATGCAATACTTTATGTATTCTTCGTGCAAATTGCAATTTTCGAAGTGTGGAAATTAACACTAGAGGTTGCCGGGCGCCTAAATTAAAACTCCCTTCCGAAGTGCAATAAATTCCCTCGCTCGTAAAGATATAACGATCGCCTAAACAGTGGCTAGCTGTCGTTTACAGCCCTAATGTACGAATTTAAATTACCAACTAGTACTTCAATATTTGATACCACTTTTAAATTTCACTTCTAATAAAAATAAAAGTAATTTTTAAAAGCAAAATCAATTCTTATCCAAAAATGTATAAATGTTAACAGTAAACAAATGACTTAATACTGAAGCTAAACCTACACATACAATTCTATAGAACAATCTCACTAGTATTATAAATGAGAAAGTTTGGATGGATGGATGTTTGTTAGAGTTTGCAGCTTAAACCGCTAAACGGATCTCGATGAAATTTGGCATAAATGTAGAGGATAGTCTGGAAGAACACATAGGCTATTTACTTTATTTTTTTTTAATTAAACGCGGACGGTACGCGGGCGATATTTGTATATTTTGCGAAGACCGTTTTTTGGCTCTCAGTCAACTAGTTTATAGTTACTTAGGCTATAAGTCTACCATTTTATAAATATATTCATTTCAAAATTAATCAATTTTAAAATAACATACGAATGTTAGAGCATTTGATGTGGTTACGTTTGTCGCCTCGACATTAATTTATACGTCGAATCGTAAACATTTTAGTGTCGCATCGTTTTCCTTACGTTTCACATTACCGACACGTTCACTCTTATTTATATTTATATACTAGCTTTCGCCCGCGACTCCGTTCGCGCGGGATCTAAACAAACAAACTAAGTAGCCTTTGTATTCTTCCAGAATATCCTCTACACCTATGCCAAATTTTAGCCGTTTACCCTACAAATTCTAATAAACATCCATCTATCAATCTGTCCATCTAAACTTTTACATTTATAATATTAGTAAGATAAATACATAACCTTGCCACATTGATTATACGCAGAACAAATATTTCAATTATAAATTCGTATAGGTAATAGAAATACATATAATTAGTGTTGATTAGACCAGGCTAGCAGCAGTGGTAGGTATTGGCTTAGCTGTAGAGTTTGAATTGGTATGCGCGGGGAGTCGCTAGGTACATCTATAGGCGAGTAATTGAGATCGATCAAGTCGTGAATCGAGTTGGGCGGCGCAATCAAAAGCGTATCAAGCCAATGAGCGGCCGGCGGC